CTTCTTCTTCTTCTTCTTCTTCTTCTTCTTCTTCTTCTTCTTCTTCTTCTTCTTCTTCTTCTTCTTCTTCTATTTATTAATTTACCTATGCCTACGACATTTGCATGGCACTTCCGCAGGCCAGCGACAGAACGAAAATACTTCTTCTTTTTTTATTTTATCCTGATCCAGAAAGAAAACAAAGTTTTTCTCTTTGGGACCTAGATCTATATTAAAAATTGTTCTTTAGGTGCATACACGGGATCACTAAAATAAATTAATGACTTACAGTAACCAAGCCAACAAATTTCTCATTTTGAGGCAACGAGGTGTACCCTGTCCTTCACATTTCAGTGTAAGCTTATAGACTTCATCACTGTCTTGATGTCTCCACGCAAGTCTAAAAAATTACTCACCCTGTCTCTTAATACATTGTGCTTCTTTGGCGTACGTTAAAGCGTGGTGTTGAGAAAAATGTACCAATGCTTTAATCTTTTAGGCGTATGCTGCAAATCTCCTATTACTTTTTTGATCCACATTAGGCTAGTATCAAAGAAAAAGAATGTCGGAACCTTAGTTTGCAGAGACTTTAAAAATGGGCTTTTAGCTTCTGTTGGTCATCCATCTTTTAGACCCGTATGCAAAGATCGGAAAAGATTGAACAGAGCTATTTCTTTTCATCTTGTTTTATCCGCGTCCAGACGAAAGCGAACAAGCTATAGATTTCACTGCGTGTGCCTTTGTTAGTCAGTCAGATTATCCGTGCATCCGCCTCTCTGTCCACATATATGTCTATAATCTTATCTCTTCTCGCACTACGCAATATATGATTTAAACAACCCTGACTTATCTGTTTAGCCATCTTACGACAAACCCTTCGCATCTACTTCATGCCACGTTTCAGAAAAGTTGGAATGGAGGAAAGCGTTGTTGTTAGAAGCTCTAAGACGGATTAGGCCTCGGTTTTACACCCATCGATGTTAGCACTCGTCTGGAGAGACTGATAAAAGGGTCGTGGCAAATGCGAAGGATGGACAGTCAGACATGTGTCCGGAGTTCGATGATACTTAGTGGTCAGAGGGTAGGAGAGCTCGCGGCAAGAAGTGGACAATGGCTGGACAGCCCCAAGCACACACCTGGGATGGGCAGTGATCAGAGTGGTCAATGGGGACTTTAAGGTGTCAGAAAGTTCAGAAAATGTTTTAACAATGCTGACCGGGTGGATGACAATTGCTCTGGTGTTGTATGGTGGGGTTTGCTCCTTCTTTTCTGTCAAACACCCATCGCTTTTTTCTCTACTCTTTCTTTTCTCTGTACGTTACTCTCAGTTATCGTCTACACTTACATAACTTATTTATCACTTATTTATGTTGCAAGTTACTCTTTAAAAAATCCTCTACACTTATATGACTTATTTATGTTACAAGTGCCGCAAAACTCTTACGAAAACTAATGCCGATCGTAGTCTGATCTTTACCGAACGATTTTTTAGTTAGATTAGTTTTTCCTACAAATAAACCAGGAAGACTTGTTACTATCAGTCACAGTATTTTACATTGATCGGTGTCACAGAATGAAAAGGTAGATCTACTACCTTTAGGGTCGTACAGAGCAAAATAACCCAGAATATCTTTTTTCAGAACATTTTTAATGTTGGCCCACTTTGAATCCTATGTTATTATTGTTATTATCATTGTTATCATTAGTATCATTATAATCATTGTTATTATTTTTATTATTTTCATCATCATTATTATTTTTATTATTATTATCATTATTATCATTATTATTATCATTATTATTATTATTTCTATTGTTACTATTAGCATTACTATTGTATAGAACACTTCTCTTCTCAATGTATCTGTTTCCCGTACTTGGCACCAGGTGGAGTATGATGCCCGAGGGTTACTGGAGAAGAACAGAGACCGTCTGCCCATTGAGATCCTCAACATCATGCGCCTGTCGGAGAACGAGGTGGTCAAGGCGCTGTTCCAGACACCTCTCACAAAGACAGGTGGGTGGGTTGTTGGCAGGTGCTATTATGTGGTTTGCTCCTTCTTTCCTTTAAAAAATATATCATCTCTATCACTCCTTCTTCTGTGTGTTTGTTACTCTCTTGTAACACCTCTAACCTTTGGCACTTATATGACCTAATTGTATCTCAAGTGCCGTAAAACTCTTACTAAAACTGAATAGCTAAAAGACAGGTGAGGGAATCAACAAATGGCTGTCATCAACATCTTTTTAAAAAATTAACACTTTGCCGTGCGCAATAATGCGACAGTGAAAATTATCCGTTCCAGTTACCTGGGGCAGTTCGCTGCCTGAGAAGTCTGTTGCAGTCACTCCCCTGGCTGGGTGTCCGGATGGGGGTATTGACTAGTGCTTGCTGTGCGACTGTAAAGTTTTAATCTTTCAATGGCATTTGCATATGAAGACTATTGGAAAATCCAGAGAAGTCACATTTTCTTTCTAAAATGAGAAAAGGGAAATTGAATGTTTGAAATTCTGTACCTCAAAGTGCGTAGGCCTTGTGCAGGACTTAGCTGGCTTATCCCTGAGATCATTTGCAAATTCTAAAGAATGTAAGAGTGCGAAAAACTGTTTGGATTTTTGTTTTTTTTGGGTTTTTTAAATTTATAATGTGACTAATCTGGTTTTGTGGGTGGTTGGGGGGTGCTCTTGTGTGGTTTGCTCCTTCTTTCCAATACAAATTCACTTCTTCTACCTATTCAGTAACCACAACAAACAATATCAAGGACCAACACTGAATCCCCCCCTCCTCTCTCTCTCTCTCTGTGTCTCTCTCTCTCTCTCTCTCTCTCTCTCTCTCTCTCTCTCTCT